ACAAACTGTCTTCCAAAGTGGTCACACCACATGTATATATTGGAATATTATTCAGCCATGAAAAAGAATGAAATAATGCGATTTGCAGCCACAGGGGTGGACCTGGAGGTCATTATACTAAGTGAAGTCAGAGAAAGACAAGCACCATATGATGCCGCTTCCATGTGGAACCTAAAATATGATGCAAATGCACTTATCTATGAGACAGAAGCAGACTCACAGACACGGAGCGCAGACCTGTGGGTGCTAAGAGGTGAGTGGAGGGGGGAAGGGTCGGGAGTTGAGGATCAGCAGATGCAAACTATTACACAGAGGATGGACAAATGACAAGGTCCTGCTGTGTAGCGCAGGGAACTCTATTTGATATCTTGTGATAATCCTGATGAAAAAGGATATTAAAAAGATTGTATCTACACATATAACTGAATCACTTTGTTTAACAGCAGAAATTAACACAACACTGTAACTCAAGCGTACTTCACTAAAATAAATTTTTTAAATGTTTAAAAGCAAAGTGCACCATTCTCCAATCTCACCAGCAACGATGACAGCTGTGTCGCCCCACACCCTCCCCAGCATTTGTTGTTGTCAAGTCTTCAGATTTCTGCCATTCTAACAGGTGTGTGGAGAAGGGAATGGCAACCCACTCCAGTGTTCTTGCCTGGAGAATCCTGTGGACAGAGGAGCCTGGTGGGCTGCCGTCCACGGGGTCACACAGAGTCGGACACAACTGAAGCGACTTAGCATGCACGCATGCATTGGAGAAGGAAATGGCGACCCACTCCAGTGTTCTTGCCTGGAGAATCCCAGGGACGGAGGAGCCTGGTGGGCTGCCGTCTACGGGGTCACACAGAGTCGGACACAACTGAAGCAACTCAGCAGCAGCAGCAGCAGGAACAAGTGCGTAGTGATGTTTTGTTGCTGTTTCAGTTTGTTTCCTCGATGACATAGGATGTGGAGTTTTCACGTGCTTATTCCCCATCTGTGTATCTTCTTTGGTGACCCGTCTGTTCAGGTCTTTTGCCCATTTTTTAATCAGGTTGCTTGCTTTCTTGTTGTTGCCCTTTAAGAGTTCTTTTGTATCTTGGATAACAGTCATGTATCAGATTTGTCTTTTGCAAATATTTCCTCCCAGTCAGTGGTTTATCTTCTTATTCTCTGTTGTTTATGATTTTTAAGCACCTACAGTTTGCCTCCTTTTTTTTCTTAATATGGTTGAATTTTATCCCTTAGAAATTTGTCTAGTTTTCATCCAACAAATATTTATTCAACCCCTAGTACGTAGGGGCTTCCCTGGCGGCTCACATAGTAAAGAATCCATCTGCAGTGCGGGAGAACTGGGTTCGATCCCTGGGCTGGAAAGATCCCCTAGAGGGCATGGCAATCCACCCCAGCATTCTTGCCTGGAGAATCCCATGGACAGAGGGGCCTGGTGGGCTGCAGTCCATGGGGTCACAAAGAGTTGGACACGACTGAGGGACTGAGGTTCAGAAATTCACCTTTCCACAGCGTAAGCAGACAGATTAACACGTCTCATGCAGAAAATGTGGACCTAGGGAAGAAGAAGGCTTGAAAAGAGAAATTTAAATGGAAACAAAGGTGTGATGTAATAGGAAGAATTTTGCTGTCCACAAAGGATTGTGCATTTATTTCCAGCACATGAAAAACATTTACAAGTATTTGGCCTGCTATATGGAACCTTTAATAAACCCAAAGCCTCAATAGTATACAGACAGATACACTCTGTCCATGATGCAGTGATATTAGAAATCAAAACCAAAGAGAACCAAAGCCCCCTATACATATAAATAATCATAAAAATGGAATCAGACTGGAAATTTCAAGATGATAGCAGTAGTAGCAGTCTTGGTTGCTCAGTCGTGTCCGACTCTTCACAACCCCACGGACTGTAGCCCACCAGGGTCCTCTGTCCGTGGGATCCCCCAGGCAAGAACACTGGAGTGGGTTGCCATGCCCTTCTCCAGGGGATCTTCCCTAACCAGGAATCAAACCCAGGTATCCTACATTGCAGGCAGATTCTTTACCATCTGAGCCATCAAGGAAGCCCTTCAAGATGATAGTGAAAAAATAAAATATCAAAATCTGTGGGGAGCAGATAAAATAGTAAGCAGAGGATACTTTATAGCCTTAAATGTCTTATTGAAAGACAAATATTTAAAAGAATGTAGCTCAACATTCAACTTAAGCTGGAAAAAGAGCAAAGGTGCAAAAATAAAAACCCATTAGGGTTAAAATAATAAAGAGAAGCAGAAGTTACTGGAGTAGAAAAGAAACAAATAATAAAAGTGACTGATGAAACCAAAGTTAGTTTTTGGAGTAGACTAATGTAAGCTGATGGCATAACCGACTCAATAGACGTGAGTTTGAGCAAACTCCAGGAGACAGTGGAGGACAGAGGAGCTGGGTGCTGCAGTCTGCTCATGCTGGGGAAAGGTGAACTTCTGCTTTCCGCTGGGGTCTTTTGCCCTATCAACGTGGGCCCATGGCTCACTGAGGCCTTCTCTTCATCACAGGACACAACCCTCTGTCCTTGTGAACACTCCTCTCGTATCTTTCTGGGGAAGACGGGTATTCTCAGCCGTGCTTTCTTTTGGTTTAGTATTTCCCTCCCATTTATTTTTTTCATCCTCTCATTTCAGATCTTATGTCATTTTGTTTCAGATGTATCTCACATAAATAGCGTATTGTTGGATATTACAGCGTTTTCTAAGAAGTACGATGTGACTCTCCTTGAATAGGTGAGCATAAGCCATGTCTTTGTCATGCTCACTTGCACATCTGAACATCCCTGGGCCATGTTCATATTCCCTACTGACCCGATTTCTTCTCCACCGCTCCCCAACACCCTTCCTATCTCCTCTTGACTTGATGGGTTTTGTTCACCAGCTTTCCTTTTCCTCCTCTGGAAGTTATACTATCTCTGTCTATTCTTTTATAAGTTACCCTTAACTTCTAAAATCATTTCTTAAACTTGTATTTTCCAAGATGTTCTCGAGTAAATCAGGAGAGCGGGTCTCCACCAGGGCAGGAGGGCAGTGGTCACTTTGCTGACCTGCCCATTCGGCAAGAATGACTGAATTCCACTACTAGAAACATACTGTGGAAAAAGGTTCAGAAATGAAGACATTTGTCACAGCATCATTTGCAAACGGAAAGAAAAAAAAAAAAAGAAGCAACTTGGTGTACAGGCAGGGAATAAACAAATTATGTTAATCCATGCAATAGGATATTATGCAGTCATTAAAATCATGTTTTTGAATAATTTTAATGATATGAGAAAATGCTTGTGATATTAGCGTAACAAGGTGTATTAAGTAGCTCTCTGTTTTGGCTGCGGCGGGAAGGAAGCAGTTTCGGCCACATGATGGGTGTTAGGAGAGAGATGGCATGAACTCTGAGCTGGTGTGGGGACCAGGCTGATGGAGATAAATGAGCCCCTCGAGAAGGCTAAGGCTGCCCACACCCAGAGTTGGCAGTGAGGATGTGGAATGAGGACCCTCACAACACACCGGTGGGAACTGGAATACATTTGGCAAACAGTTTGCCATCATCTGCTAAAGTGGAAGATACGCACCCCACATGGCTGTGGAATTCCTCCTCTGGGTGGACAGACACCCAGCAGAAGCGGGCAGGTGTTCGCCCACGGACGTGCACGCAGATGTTCAGGGCGGTGATATTTACAACGGCCCCGAAAGGGAAACAGCACAAGTGCCCACCCGCAGTGGAATGGATAAATCGGCATCCTCGCACTAACGGAAAGGACAGACAGGGTGGAACGAACCACAGCCACCCAACCGCAGGGACCGCTCCCAGACGGGGAAGGTGTTTGCAGAAGTCTCTCCCCTTGGCCCCTCTGGAGAAGAGTTTACTGGCATGAAAACTACCCTATGGGGTCGGATGTCAGGGTGGCATCCAGCGAGGGGAGGGGGCACCTCGGAGGCCCGGGGTGCCGGCCAAGCGCTGCTTCTTGATGGAGGTGGCGGCTCCTGGCTTCAGCATTGTGACAACTCACTGTCCCCAGATGTGTGTTGTGTGGTCTGCTGGTGGTCTGTCAGTGCTGTGTTGGTCAAAAAGTTCATTGGGGTTTTTCCGTAACATGCAGGAAACACGAACGAACTTCTGGGCCAACCCAATAGCATACATGTGTGTATTCCCAGGTGGCGCTAGCGGTAAAGAACCCGCCCGCCAGGGCAGGAGATGCAGGCACGCCAGTTCGATCTGTGGGTCGGGAAGATCCCCTGGAGGAGGAACCGGCAACCCACTCCAGTGTTCTGGCTGGAGAATCCCACGGACAGAGGAGCCTGGCAGGCCCATGGGGCTGCGGAGAGTCGGACACGACTGAGCGCGCGCACACACACACACACAATAGCACACATCATAGTTTCAAAGTAAAAACAATGAAAATCATCACCAAATTTCCAGGACAAAACAGGACGACTACAGAGTGGGTGGCTGGTTTCTGTTGCCATTAACAACTTACCACACCCTCAGCCGGGGTCGCTCAGCCGTCAGATGGTTCGTCACTGCGTCTTCACGTCTCTAAACTAGAATGAACGATGTGAGCATCTTGTCGGCACTTGCTCCTCTTCCGTTTGTGAACTGCCTACCTTCTGTGCTGTGCTCGTTTTTATTTTCAAGAGTTGTCATTTCCAGTTATTTCCAAGCACGCGGTACCTGTGATGGAATTTCAGCCCGTCTCACCTAGGCCGCAGGTACGTTTGCCGGGCTTGTTACCATCTCTCTGTGTTCTGAGGTTTTTGAGCTCTGTTGTCCTTGCAGCGTGTTTTCGTGCCGCATACTACAGATGTTTATCACCAGTCTTTATTGTTTTGACCAGAGAGCCTTCCACCATTCTGGGTTATAAAAATACCCGTTTATTTCTATTTTGAGTATTTGGGTTTTTTTTTTTTTTAAGATTTAGATCCGTTCATCTGGAATTTACTTTGGTACACAGGTTCGTTTTTTTACTAAATGAGTACTTAGCCTCAGTTTATCAATGAAACAGGTTCGGGGGTCAGATGCTTTGAGCACGGCCACACGGGCAGAGTGGCTGCGAGCGCTCCCTTGGCGTCCCTGTGGAGATCGTCTCCGTGCCAGGGACGGGGCTGGGGTGAGGCGACAGGACGAGTGAGACAGGGCCCTGCAGCTGAGAGGGGCAGAGGCCCTGGGTCCGGGGGAGCACTGGGGAGGGGACAGGAGGGGAGAGGGCCAGCTGGCCGGGGCCGGACCCGGCAGGCGGCTCAGGGAGGGCCCGGCTGCCTGGCGCTTTGAGCAAGCGTCACCCAGCACCAGTCCTGAGAGCTGACCCGCTGGGCTGTGGACCGGCGGTCACCTCCAACTCAGGGTGGACGGGCTCGGAGGCCCAGGCTTGGAGCGGCTTAGCCAGGTCTCAGCTTCCCACGGAGACGCCCCCGCGTGGCCAGTGGAAACAGTTCACTCAAACACAAGGGGATTCTATTTCAGATGCACAGGCCACACCATCACAAAGCCCTTTTCACCCCCGAGTCCCTTCAAAAGCGCAAATCGCCCCCTCGCCTGGGACCCGCCCTCCCTGGCAACTGACCCCTTCTGGCCCTTCCCTCTCGGCTCGGGGGCCCACGAGCAGGGTGCCGGGCAGGGTGAGACATGGTGGGTCAGCTGCAGCCCAAGTCAGGGGTCTGTCCCAGACAGCTGGGGTTTGAGCCGCCCACGGGGGCTCGGGGACCCCCAAGTGGGCCTGAGGAGCTGACCGCTAGGCCACAAACGCCATTGATGACACAAATGACAGTTGTCACCAGTGCTGAGCCGGGACCTGAGCCTGACGCCTCCCGCCTCCTGACTGTGGTGGGGGACAGTGGGTCTCCACGCGCAGCCCTGAGCCTGCACTTCAGTCTGTGGGGGTCCGCCCGGCTCGGCCAGGCTCACGCAGGGTGGAGAGATCCACAGCAGCCCCCCGGGGCCTCCAGCTCACCCCTGGGAATGAACCCTTACCCCGAGATGACGACAGACAGGGAAGTGCTGCCCTGCAGGCTCCCCGGTGAGGGGGGAGAAGGCAGACACGGGGGGCCCGGAGGACGGGGTACAAGAGCAGCCCTGAGAAGCCGGGGCTCATGGAGCCTTGTTTCACCGACACAGGAGGACAGGCGGCCGGAGTGCCCGGGGCAGGGGGGTGGGACGCGTGGGCATGTCCTGGGTCCCAGGAGCAGGAGCGGTGGGCCCGGGACTCAGTGTCCCGGGACCCAGTGTCTGCCCCGAGCAGATGCTGGAAGGACCATGGCCAGATGAGGGGAGGGGGGTCCCTTCTGCCCCCAGACCGACAGCGGCTGAGCCAAGGGTCAGCCGGACCCCGACACCCAAATGGAGCAGCCTGGGCGTGGGGTCCAGCTCGAGTCTGAGTCCTGTCAGTCTGTACCTTCAGGTCCCCATGAGGCCCTGGCAGGCATCAGCAAGAATGTGCGTGCTGCAACCAACGCCAGGCCAGGCACACTGCAGCCGGCCGGAAGAGAAGGCCCGGGGCCCCGTGGCCAGAACAGAAGGCCCCGGGACCAGGACTCCAGGCCCGCACGGAAGGCCCGGGGCTCCAGGCCTCATGGAAGGCCCAGCAGCTGCGGCAGGGCTGGACTCCCGCCCAGCCTCAGAGCAGACAGCCGAGGAGCGGCGCCTGGCAGGGACACCCCGCCCCCTCAGGAGAATCACAGGCAGGGAATCACAGGCGAGGCTGGGGTTTCATTGCACCTTTATTCCGTGTTTCACACCTTGTATTCCATAAAGAACAGTCTTTAATCACTTCAGACTGGTTGGCTCAGACTCCAAAGACCCCCACCAACACCCTTCAAGTTCAGCTTCAGGTGTATATACACATGAAAATAAGCACAGAGCCTCACTAAACTTCGTAGATTCTTCCTATTTGAAAAACAAGCTGCCGCCAGGGGCACGGCTTTCGTGTTCCCAGCGTTTTGGCCTCAAGGACAACCTGAGCGCAGTGGGCAGTGCCCGCGGTCTAAGCAGGATGGGCTTCCTATGCCAAGCAGGGGGCCTCTCCCCAGAACTGGGCGCAGGCAGGAGGGCAGAGAAGGGCCAGGGCTGTGGGAGCTGGGGGGGGGAGCCCCTGATGCCGGGCTGGGTTGGGGCGCTGTCTTGCCTAAGGTTAGCAGGTTTCCCAGCTGACCTGGGGGCTTCTGACATTTGCACAATATTTTGTGCTGACTTCCACGCATGTGTAATGACCCAGAAACCCTTTTCATAAAATAAGGAGCTCGCACCATCACACACGTGTATCTGTGTGTCCTGATCCTCAGCTGCTGTGCAAAGACGGGCTGGCTGGCTGACCCCCTGCCCCCGCCCTGAGGGCTGGCACGTGATGGGAAAGAGATGCTGCAAGCGGACGGGAGTCTGAGGGCACAAGTGGCCGCTGAGGTCGGGGGCCTGTCCTGTGGGGTAGGAGCTGGAGCTGCGGCCCGGGGCCCCACGGGTGTGTCCAGGCACCAGCGGCCACAAGCCCCTGCCGTGTCCTCCCCAGCTCAGGCAGAGGAGCTGTGTGGAGCAAGACAGGCGGGCGGGGCAGGACTGTGCAGCTGGACTGGCCGCCCCACGACCAGCAGATCAAGTCCACTCGTGCCCGGACACCCAGCACGGGGAGGGGCTCGGGCTGCTCCAGCCCCGCGGGGTGCAGGAGGGCTGGGGTCCTTTAGACCCCAATTGCGGGGCAGGACCGGCTGCACTCGCCTGCCCAGCGGCCCAGGGGAGCCTGAGCGCCAGCCCACACCGACGCTGGCCCCGTGGAGTGGCTCCCACCTATGTGGGCTCCACGGCAGATCGCCCGGGCCGGTTCCCTCTTTCCAGAGGCTGTGGGTGCAAAGTAAGGCAACTTGGAGCCCTCTCTCTGCTCCGGACGGCTGCAGCCAGAGTTGCCCTGGGCTGACCGTCAGCCTTCCAGGCAAGTTTACACCAAGAAAGCAGGAACATAGCCCAGTAAAGGGACCAAGTTACAGGAACCTGGCCGCAGGGGAGGCCTGGGAGGGCACAGAGGTATCATGGCTTAGCGCAACGCTTCACTGAACATCTTTGTCTGTACTTTATTCTCTTCACTCAACAGAATAGAATGTTTAAGTTTCCAAGCAGGCAGGAGGCGGCTGCCACCTCCCTCTGCCCCCAGCGCCCGGACAGCAGGCCTCTGAGGGGGGTTGCCTCCCAGGCTGCCTGGGGCGGAGGCGCACGAGGTGGGCATTTGGCAAGGGCACTCCGGGGCCGGGGGCGGGGCGCTGGCCCCGGGGGCCCCACGGCCGGCCGCTCCCCGGCTCTTTGGTATCTCGGGAGGCGGAGGCTGCCCGCCCTCACCAGGCCTGCCCGCAGCCAGCACCTCGTCCCGGCGGGCCACTCCAGCGAGGCCTCCTCTCCTCCTTCCCGGCTGGGGCCTGCAGCCGGCGGCAGCGGCACTGCCCGGCGTGGGGGGCCCGCTGCGGTGGGCCGGCCTCACTTCTTGTAGTGATTGGGGGCGTCCGCGAAGGCGAACTTGAGGCGGTAGGCCTCAGCCAGCAGCAGGCTGACGTCCTCGTCACCCCAGTGAGTGGTGGGCAGGTTCTGAAGGAAGAGCAGCAGCTCCTGCGGGGAAAGACAGCGGTCAGAGGGGGTGGGGAGCGGGCTGGGGGAAAGGGGCCCCAAGGGCGACCAGCAGGACGGGGGAGGAGGTCCCAAGGAGGCGACCAGCAGGGTGGGGGCAGGGGCCCAAGTGAGTGATCAGCAGTGTCGGGGGAGAGGGCCCAGGGGGTGACCAGCTCCTGGGGGGCAGAGACAGGGGGTCAGAGGTGGTGACCAGCAGGGTCGGGGGACGGGGCCCTGCAGGAGGGGCCCTGGGAAAACATTCCAGCCTGCAGTGGGGGGAGCTGGGGGGGGCGGATGCCCTGCAGCTGCCCAGCCCCCACATATCCTGTCCCCCCAAGTAGGCCCCGACAGGCCCTCAGCCCTGCAGCTGGGAGGAGACGCCCCAGGCAGCCCCCCTGACCCGCTGGGAGGAGAAGGGCGGCACCACCCAGCCCCGGGCCTCACACACCAGCTGCCCCGGCGCTCTGGGGTCCAGGGACTGCTGGGGGATGTGGAGCCCAGCCCCTGGGCACTCAGGGCTGGCACCCAGAGGCCAGGCCCGGGCCCAGGTTCTGGCTGTGCTGCACCCCGCTGGTGGGCCGGGCAGGCTGCTGACCAGCTCAGGGCCGCGGGTTCCCCACCGAGGAGAGGGTCTCAGCTCCCGACGGGCCGTCGGTGCTTGGCACTGGGCGACACGGGGGCCTGTGCCAGGCCTGCTGTCCCCTGACCCCCTGTCACAGGTCCGTCTCCCCCCTCCCAAAGCGCAAGCCTCACGCGCCAGGACACGCCGCTAATGTGGCTTCCCTGGAGCTGCTCATCCCCATTTCCTCCTGCATTTTGGACCCTTTCTGGGGGCCTTTAAATTGAATTCACGGAGCAAATTTCACTGGCAGAGTGTCTCCGGGGACACATCAACATCAATCTGCTGTCTTTCACCATTAGATGCAACTTACACGGATGCCAATCCAATTCTGAGCAGGTCGTAAATAAATACCTTTGGTTTTATTTTTAATCCACTTCGCTTCATATTATCATGACCTCGCTACTTGCAAGGTGAGAAGCAATACCCTCCCATTACGGTAACTCAGCAACTCCACTGCACACTCAATTTCAGAATCTAATTTAGTCCCCCAGGTTCACTGGATGGACAGAGAATAGAAATGCCCGGCGCTCCGCAGCCTGTGAAGCTTAAAGAAGGAAAAATCTATCCGGGTGACCTTTATGGGAGGAAGAGAACACAGCCAAACACCTCCCTAAATACAGATTTCTTTTTAAAAAAGGCCTTATTTACGTGCTGGGCGGCTGTGTCTCTGGCTGGGGAGCCCCGGAGCGACCAGGGGTTAGCCACGGCGTCCGGACAAAGGCCAACAGTCACAACGCTGTCGCTGGCTCACAATGCGGGGCGCCCGCTCCCCCCAGGACGAGACGGCAGCAGGGAGGGCCCGGGGCAGTGGCCGGCAAGGGCAATTTGTTTTTCATCTTAACTCCTCCGTAAACAGTGACCACGTTCACAGGATGAAAGCTGAGGACGGTGTGCGCACAGCTCTGAGGTCGGAAGGAACCAAGGTCGGGTCAGGTCCCCATGGTTCTCCACCGACTGTGCCCACGAGATGCCACCCTGGCCACAAAGCCCCGGCTCAGTGCACCTGCCACGTGTCACTGTTCTTCACGCTGGCACATGCCGTCTGCGGCCGTCGGGAGGGCTGGAGTGATGGTGTCGCCCCGCTGCACAGCCTGGGGGCCTCAGCCCCAAGCAAAGTGCCAGTCACCCTGAGGACGGACCCGCCGTGCCTGGCACCAAGGACGGGGTTCCGAATCTCGGGTCAGCCCAGTTCTCGGTGTTTGACTGTCCTCCGGACACGCTAGATGCCATCTCACAAGCATGTGGACCATGGCTGGCTGCCTCTTCCATCAGGGGGTCCCCTCTGGAGGCCCCGCCAGGGCCAGGGAGGCAGGCTGCAGGGCGGGCCCTGAGCTGGGTTGTTGCTGCATGTCTCTTCCAGGCGATCCTTCCTGCCTTTGCCTCTGGGTGGGATCCAAGAAGTGAGCCTTCCAATGTTAAAGAGCAAATGATGTTTGCAGCTTCGGGGACTTCTTGCCAAAACGTTTTCATTTGTCCAGAGAGAGGCATTACGTTACCATCTGCAAAGTATGATCATCTCTACGTGCGCACCCTCCCAGGAAGGACAAAACGGTACATCCTGGCGTCTGCGAGGGTGGGCAGGGGCCCCCTCTCAGGCCCCGGGTTCTGTCTGTGTGGTCCCGTGCAGAGGCTCCCACATGTCAGGCAGCAAGGTCACAGTCAGACGTGGAGATGGGCCAAGCCTGCCACTGGCCACTGCGACCCAGGGAACTCTGGAGGCACAAACCCAGTGTCCTCACCCACGTCACTGGATGATCTGTCTCCTCCGGGACACCAGCAGGCCCAGGTGACCCCGTGCCCCACCACGAAGCACACAGCACACGGTGCTGACCCCTGGGCAATCACTCGGGCACACACTCTTGTAAAGGCCGCTGACCTTCCAGCAGGCCACGTCAGATCATTCCAAGGGGACACCAAGGCACCACGGAGGACGCCGCCTTCGAATGTGCCTGGACTGGACTGTCAAATCCTCACGTCTGATGCAATCGGCATCATGTGTGATGAAGGAAGCGCAGGTCTGTCCCGGAGCAGAAAGGGCCCTCGCTCTGCCGGCCATGTCCCAGGACCGCCCATGCCCAGGCCGTATCAGGGCACGTGCTCGCCACACGGCCCGGTCTCGGTCCACACCTCTCAGGCTCTGCCCTCTGGGGCTGCGGTGTGTGTGGAGGTGGGAATCCGGCCACAGACGGACAGACAGACTACTAACGGGCAGACGGTGCTCAGCTTGGCGCAGGGGCCTGGCCGGGCGTGTGACTGAGTGCAGCTCTTCTGCCTGCCCACTGCGGGGGTCTCGGTGGACACGTGTGTACATGTAGAACACACCCCAGATCTCAAACACGTGGTCTGAACGAAAGTCTGGGAAATGTTTCTTAACTTCTATCTTGATCACAGCTTGAAAGATAACATTGCACGTGTACTGGGTTAGATAAAATGTTAATATTCACATTCATCTCCCCTGTGCTCCTCTTTCTGTGAGGTTCCCAGAAGCTAGCTCTCCCCGGAAGCAGGCCTTCCCTCCGATGAACAGCACCTTCCCTCCGGTGGACAGCACCTTCCCTCTGATGGACAGAACCTTCCCCCTGGTGGACTGCACCTTCCCTCCGGTGGACAGCACCTTCCCCCAGATGGACGGCACCTTCCCCCCGGTGGACGGCACCTTCCCTCTGGTGGACGGCACCTTCCCCTCAATGGACGGCACCTTCCCTCTGATGGACGGCACCTTCCCCTCGACGGACAGCACCTTCCCTCTGATGGACGGCACCTTCCCCCCAGTGGACAGCACCTTCTCCCCGGTGGACAGCACCTTCCCCCCGATGGACAGCACCTTCCCTCTGATGGACGGCACCTTCCCCCAGATGGACGGCACCTTCCCCCCGGTGGACGGCACCTTCCCTCTGGTGGACGGCACCTTCCCTCTGGTGGACGGCACCTTCCCCTCAATGGACGGCACCTTCCCTCTGATGGACGGCACCTTCCCTCTGGTGGACGGCACCTTCCCCTCAATGGACGACACCTTCCCTCTGGTGGACGGCACCTTCCCCTCAATGGACGACACCTTCCCTCTGGTGGACGGCACCTTCCCCTCGATGGACGGCACTTTCCCCCCGATGGACGGCACCTTCCCTCTGGTGGACGGCACCTTCCCCTCAATGGACGGCACCTTCCCCCTGGTGGACGGCACCTTCCCCTCGATGGACGGCACTTTCCCCCCGATGGATGGCACCTTCCCTCTAATGGACAGCACCTTCCCCCCAGTGGGCGGCACCTTCCCTCCGGTGGACAGCACTGCACTGGGTGGTTCAGTGCTCTCCTTCTGTTCACGGGCAGCGGCTGTGACGGCCACAGCAGCCGCCCACTGTAGACCCTCGGGCAGAGGATGCACCTCAAGGCTCCCAAGTCAGTGCCACTCTGCCCATGCGGCGGGGCCCAGAGGCGGTCCACATCCTGGCCGCGCGCAGAGATGGTCCACATGCTGGCCGCGCGCGGAGATGGCCCACATGCTGGCCGCGCGCGGAGATGGCCCACATCCTGGCCGCGCGCGGAGATGGCCCACATCCTGGCCGCGCGCGGAGATGGCCCACATGCTGGCCGCGCGCGGAGATGGCAAAGGAATCAGGACAGGGCGAGGGGCTCACGTGCCGATGACCATGTCCCCCCTTCCCTAGGAAGGAGAGACATCGGTCCCTCCATGGGCACAGGCGGGAGCAGGCCTAGCTGCTTTGTTCCACTTTTCCACCGCGTTCTGATGGACCGTTGGCAGCTTGGCTGGAGAACCTGCCGCTGGGGAGGCCCGGCCACTAGCAGAAGGACGGTCCCAGGTGCCCCCTGGGGACCCTGGGGGGACACCCAGGCTCGGGACTCCTGCAGGACAGGCCTCGGGCGTTTCTCCCAAGTCCTCAGCCTTTCAGGTGAGGCGCCCGAGGCAGGGGAGGCCTGGGTGGTTCAGCGCCCGCACCACAGATGGCCCTGTCCCCACAGCGCCGGGTGACATCAGAGTGCAGGCGCCCGGCAGCCTGGAAGCCAAGGGGGCGGAGATGGGTGACCGCCAGGCCGAGTGGGCTGGGGACACAGAGCAGCGACGGCCTCAATGCACGCAGCACCGAGCCCGTATGCCCGCTACGGGCAGACGTGCCGCTCTGGCCCACAGGGCCGGCCTCCCACCCGCCCCCCGGGCGAGCGGCCAGGGGCCACACACTCAGCAGGACAAGGGTCCTGGTCCCGGCGCTACGGCCTGACGCCTGACGGGCTGGGCTGCTGTGCTCCCGCCTACGCAGGGGCTGTGGGGCCCGAGTCCACACTCAACACTAAAGCCCCGTTCCCGGGCAGCACACGGCGAACAGGCCGGTAGCAGGGAGCCGAGGCTGGACTGAACCGAAGC